TTCCTTTTCAACAATTCTTTTTCAGCAAATCAAACTGTCCCTTAGGCCCCGTTTGGGGCAGCTTATTTTGCTGCGGCGCGTTTTCAAAACGCCGCCGCAGCGTTTGTTTCGGCGTTTAATCCTGCGTTTTTAAATCACCGTTAATCGCGTACAGAATTTACTTCTATCCATCGAACGCGGGGGAGTGGTTCTGTTCGACGTTGACTAGGGCTTATTTTCCTCCCGTACCCCTGTGGATTCTCTCTCGCACTCTTCCCCGCGATCTCCTTTACCGATCTTCTCATGCGTAAACTAGTGGTGAGACCTTGCATAAACTATAGAAATGACACTTTTTTGATCTTCTCTGGTTCGTTTAGCGGCTCGATTGTTTTTTTTGGTGTTCCTTTGGTTTCTTTGAGGGCTAGAAGGCAACTTCAAAGCTTTTTAGGTTCTTCTGTATGCTCTAGAAATGTTCTCCATAGATCTTCTTTCATTCTTATGCCCTTACGTTTTGCTTTTTTGGGATTTTTAGCTCTTGCATTTAGGGATTTTTAGATCTTGCTCTGGAAATGGATCACATATTTACGGTGCATTTAGATCTATATGCCGCACTCCTTTTTTGGGATTGCTAGCTTTATATGCCGCACTTCTCTGGTTCTATATTTACAGTGCATTTACATTGTAATACATTTTGGTTCTATATCTATATGTCGCACTTCTCTGGTTCTATATTTACAGTTTATGTGCCTTGCAATACATTTCAGTTTGAGTTGTTCTGAAAATTGGAATTAGGAAATTGGGCTAATTTACAGATCTATACATTTCTGGTATTTTAGCTAGCTGTTCTTGTATTACTTATCTATGCCTTGCAAGTTATAGAAAATCTAGTTTAGGTTTTGGATGATGAATTATAGAAAATCTAGTTTAAGTTTTGGATGATGAATGGGGGCAAGGTTTAGCATTTATGAAATTTTGCATTTAAAGATAACGTAATGCATTGTTGCCTTTATATTCGAAAGCTTGGTTCTCCTTGTTTCATTGTAATTAGCTATTTTGACTGCTTGGCTTCATTCGATTTGTGATTTTGATTAATGTGGCTGCTATTTCCGTCAAAGCATGGCTTTATTCTTTACAGTTGGGTAAATGAATTTATTCTTTACAGTTGAGGAAATGGCTTCATTCTTCCTGTTTCATTGTAGTGGCATCAACGTTTGGCTTTCGGGTCATTGCAATACATTTCGATTTGAGTTGTTCTGAAATTTGGAATTAGGAAATTGGGCTTTGGTATTTTTCTGGAATTCTTGGTTGAACTGATAAGGAACTGAATTAATGCTTATGATTTGATCATATTTATTTGTGAGTAGAAATCTTGGTTGAGCTGAAAGTTAACTTATGTTGCAACTAGATTTGAATGTGGCTCTTGATGGTGGTAGTGTGCTAGTTCACGAATGATTGAGCTTAACCAAAGTTTACAGCTGCATAAATTCGTCTAAACAGAAATGCCAGCATTGCTTTCGGTTATGGTGTATTTAGAGGTGGCTTTGGTATTTCTTTGGTAATCTCGGTTCAAGGGGCAAGGAAATGACATCAATGTATTTAGAGTTGGCCTTGTAACCTTTTGGAATTGCATAATAAAATATTTTTGAAGCCTTACTGTGGATGTAGGTCAATGACCGAACCACATAAATCATCTGTGTCTTCATATATTTCTTTTTTTGTTATTGATCAAGTTGTAATGCTCTTGTTTGTGTTGGTGGCAAATGTTTATATTTGGAGACTGGTGTTCTTGTTGGGTTGATGTTGTTGTGGGCTTGAGATGTTCATGTGCTGGACGTATTATTACTTCAAATATCATCTCTTTTTAATTCTCATTTGTTCTCTATAACTTCTTCATGTCTAAATCAGTTGAAGGGGGGACCTCCGCAATGTGGGATAAGGAATTAACAAATATTTTCTGCGATCTTTGTATAAAAGAAATAGAACTTGAGAACAAGCCAACAACGTTTTTTAGTAAGGAAGAGTTGTGAAACATTGAAAAGAGATTCAATGAATTGACTGTCAGGGATTATGATAAGCTAAAATTTAAAAACAAAATGGATCAATTAAAGAAGGGATGAAAAATATGAAAGGAGTTGAAACCTGGATCTACAGGTTTGGGTTGGGATCCGATTCAATTAGAATGAAAATATTCATGGCACTAGAGCCAAAAATGTGTCTTGAATATTTGAGGGTTTTTGTCGATGAATGATATTTCTTTATGGATTGTATATGTATTTGCACTATTTGAACTTTGACTTATGTCGTTTTATTTTTAATATGTTTGGGACTTTTAAGCATGCTACCTTCTCGTGTTTGGGACTTTTTGAACTCATTATGTTAACATTTTAAATTTTTGGATAGTGGACTATTAATGTTTATATTTTAAATCATTTAGGATGGATCCACAACGTGAACGTCGTAGGAGAATGACATTTGCTACAGCCGTTGCGATATTGTTATTGAATTATTACCGGCATAGGACTACTCGCATTCCCTGCATGATATCCATCTTTGTTGGAGATAGATGAGTTGGTGAAATGCTTTCTGGCCATCCAATAAGATTCAGGGTCCGTTTCGGGCCGCTTTTTTGAGGCTTCGCGGCCCCGATTCGCGACTATTTACTGTTTGGTTCGAAAGAGTTGTTCTAGACCTATGTGTAGGGAAGTGTTGGCTATACACTGTACATTCTGTCACAGAATGAGTCAATTCAAGGAGCTATGGAAAGATTTTAACATTCATCCGAAATAATTAGTCGTTACTTTTCAAAAGGGATACAAACACTTGTTAGCTTAGCAACTCAAATAATTAAACCGGAGGATCCATCATTTGCTACCACTCAAGAACAAATTACCAACGATCCTCAATACATGTCATATTTCAAGGTAACTATCAGTGTTTTTAATTTATTACATTATATATTTTAACAATATTATTATTCTCTAACGGCCAATTAAACAGAACAGTATTGGTGCAATTGATGGTACCCACGTTGATGCTCGAATACCCAACCACGAGAATATCAGTCAGAGTGGTTTAACAATGCAAAATGTCATGGTTGTATGCGACTTCAACATGTGTTTTACTTTTGTGGTGGCGGGCTGGGAAGGGAGTGCACATGACAGTCAGATTTTCTCATTTGCTACTAGGAATAGATCGCAGTGTTTCCCTCACCCCCATCAGGTTAGTTTTGTTTTTCCAATTTGTATATGTTAGAATGTAATGTTTTTTATTAACATTGTTTTTCGTACCAGAAAAATATTATCTGGTCGATGCAAGATAGCATATGCAAAAGGGATACCTGAAGCCCTACCCTGACACAAGATATCATATTCCTGATTTCGAGCGGGGCAATTGAAAGAATATTTGGAGTTTGGAAGAAGAAGTGGGTCATCTTACGTGATATGTCGTCGTATCCTTTCCAAAAGCAGGTGCATATTGTGGTTGCAACAATGACACTACATAACTTCATCCGAAGACATTCGTCATGATCAAATACAGACTTCATTATGGCTGACAATGAGGAACTGAATGTCTTCGAGCAACCTACAAAACTTGGGGGGGGGGGGTTTAATAAGATTATAGGTTTATATTCATATGCATTTAATTTTGGTTATTTTTAAAATACCTTAACCTGACATTTGATTCTTTTGTTATTTTCGCATTTATACAAACATGACTTCCAGGATATCATATATAGACAGAGGGATTTAGTGTTATTGTGGACTACCTTCTCCGTTGCTAACGTCACGTAAGGAGCGTAGCTTTGGGAGACAGTTCTATGGTTTTGCCAGAGGTGTTTCAGCTCGTTGCGGTTTCTTCCGGTGGGCTGATATTAGACTGCCAGTAGTCATGCTAGCAGTCATGTGAATCCGATGTTTTCTCAGGCTGACAGTGCAAATGAGGACCGACGTAGCCAGAGTTTGAAGTTAAATATTTGAATATTTCTCATTGTTGTTGTACTTGTATTTGTACTTTTTTTAGTTCTTTTAGTACTCGTTAAGGTGTGAGAACTGTATGATATCTCTTAGAACTGATCTGTCATTATCGTATGTTTCTGCACTATATGTTTCTTTTCTAACAATAAACTATTCTGAATAAGCTGCGCCAAACAGTTTTATTAGACAGGGACAAAAATGTCATTTAACCATCAATAAGTTAATCTGAATAAACTGCCCCAAACAACAAGCCAGATTATTCTGATAATCTGCAGATTATCAGATTATCAGATAATCAGAATTCACAAATTATAAATAATCCACAGCTGCGCCAAATAGAACCTTAATGAGGGTTCAAACCCTATAAAATGAACATCTTTCTACTAAATAATTTCAATATATGTTGAACCATACTTACAAATTGAGTCAAAATTTATCCAAAATTTAAGCAAACCCTAGACCAGAGATGTTCTATTAAAAACTTTTGAATAGTTGTAATTGTTCAAAATTAATTTGAAGTTAAATTAATTTAAAATATTTTGAATTTATAAAATTAAGATTAAAAAAGAAAAAAACTACCGTTAGTTGAGCGCGATAAAAGCATGGCAATCGGCAGAGGTGCGAAGTAATCATCAATCAAGGTGGGAGGAGATTGGTCCCTTTCCGCATCTTACAGCATACCCGCAGGCTTCTTCTCTAACAGTTCCTTCGCCGCCCGTACAAACGACGAAGCATCTCGACCGTCACTTTATCCACCCAAAAAGCAAATAAACGGCAGGTTTTTTCCCGCATGAAGCATTATATGCGCAGCGCCATCATATTCTAACCCAAGAGAGACATTTGAACAAACACAGCTCCACCGACAGGCCAAATCCCCTGTGTGCAGAATAACACCATAGAGAAAACATTACGAATCCTAATCGTTGTAGGCTCACTGCTACCTACTTCTTAGCCGTACTAGATGAGTTTAACGACACAACGCTGTTTGACAAGCAGCAGCAAATCCTCCATCACCCTGCAGGAGCTCTCTATTTTTCCCTCCCCGTCTCTCTCTCTCTCCCCTTCCCATCTGAGATCGCCGGCGATTTTGGATTCAATGGCGAAGAAAATGTGCAGTCGGAAGTCGGCGGAGGTCATAGCTATAGTTCTTCTAGCTGTTGTTCTAATGGCGGCTGCAGGAGTGCAGGCGAAGTCGAAGCTGAAGACTTGCAGTAAGGGATGGGAGTGTACGGACTCGATCTATTGCTGCAACGAGACAATCTCAGACTTCTTCCAGGTTTACCAATTTGAAAATCTATTCTCCAAGCGCAATTCTCCTGTAGCGCACGCCGTCGGATTCTGGGACTACCACTCCTTCATCACTGCTTCCACGGTTTATCAGCCGCTCGGATTCGGCACCACTGGCGGGAAGCAGATGGGGATGAAGGAGGTGGCGGCATTTCTTGGCCATGTCGGCAGCAAGACTTCCTGTAAGATTCTCAATCCACTGGTTGAGTTTTTGATTTGTGACGGTGTAGGTTTTTTATTTAGTTTTTGATTGATTTGGTTGTGGATTAGTATCTAGAATAGTGAATAGATCTCTGGAACGGAACAGGGATGGGGGAGCGGGTTAAGTTGCTAGTGGTAAATGGGTAGTTACTGGAATTGAGCTACTCTAGATCTTAAATTTAAAGATAATGGGTTTGATTAGAAGAATATATTTCCGAAATTATATCAGATTCTGAGTGGTGATGAAAGTAAGTTTAAGGGATAGATTAGCTGATGAATAGATCTGATAATTTATACTGTCTTGGAAATGCCGAAGTTTAATATGTTTGCGCGGCGTACACTAAGAGATAGATCTACTGAATGGTAAAGAAATACGACTTTTTTTGCTTGTTCATGCCGTAGATAATTTGAGCCAATTAAAATTTAGTGTTTATCATTTTTTTTGGTGATTTCTCTTTGATTGATTGATGCACATGATCCGTTTCTGCTATATATCTATGACAATTTCTTGTTGTTGAACTCTTGCTACAATTTGTTTTGTGATGCTTCAATAGATACAAATATCACACCTCGTACATAATAGATTATCCCAATAACTTAGACCATTTGGCACTGCATTAAATTATTCGAAGAGATGGCAAGGTTTCAAATCCCTAAAGAAGTATAGGTTATTAGTTGTGTTTGGCCTGACTGAATCATGCATAATGAATGCAATGTTCCTATAGAAAGGTAGTTTAATCATTTGCACAATGCAGCAGATGTAACTTTTTATAATTTTCAATGTTTGGCATAGATTATTTTTCTTCCTCAACCATCAGCTTTTTTATATATTGCTGTAAGTTTTTGACATTATTCTTTTTGAATTGTTAAAAAGCTTGTATAATTAGCTATATGAAACTAAATCTATTATTCAGTAACCATCTAAATTTAAAAACAGTAAATAGCCGTTTCTAAAAGATTTTGTATTTGTTATTTCCTATCATGAATAGTATTTGGCTGGTATTCTATTCTATAAATCTAGATCTTGATCTTTATAAACACCCAGGAAAGGGACTGGTTCATTGAACCATTAGTTCAACTGTCAATGATAATCAAACTTGAGTAATTTTATAATTTTTTCATGAATAGAATTATATTTTGGATTCTAAAATAAAACATTTCTCTCATTAATTGATCATTTTGATAATACATGTGCTGAATCCTAATTTGTCCTATGGATCGTTCCCAAGGAATAGAGCACGGAATCCAAGAGAAAGAGAAATAGAGTGATTTGCCCCGTGGACGACAAAGAGGGGTGTTCTCCGGGCTCTTTGGCCCATTGTATTTCACACGAAGTAAATGTTACAAGTGAGGGAAGAAAAAGAGTGTGCTTCCTACATGGGGGTTGAGAGAGAGAGAGTCTAGGAACTCCTTTACACATGATAAAGGTCTTCCCTTATAAGAGCGAATAGGAGAGAAAAGGGAGATTACAATTATGCCCGTGATTTATATAGGGCTGCAAGGGGTACTTCAGCCCTTATTTTGCCCATATCTGAAGTCCCGAAGCTTGGTGTCCACGGGGTTCGTTGGCGTCGGTGATCGGCCAAGGTGGCAGACCGATTGTCTTTTCTTTGGTTGGCCATAGTGGCCATCTGACTGGTGGTGCCCGGCCAAGTTTGTGGCCTTGCAGTTCTGGTGACCGGTTGATCCTTCAACTGGCCGACCCTTGGTGACTGGCTTGTTTTTCTTCATAAGGCTGGTCCTTGGTGGCTCGTCGGCTAGGTGTGGCCGACCAACTTGGTCGGCTGACCAGAGAGGAGTGGCTGTCTCATGGTGGCCAGCAAGGGTGGCCAGCTGACAGGAGCAGGGTGGCGACCTTGGTTGGCCGGTTGGAGGTGATCAACCAAGGTGGCGAGTCGGCAGGAGCAAGGTGGCCGACCTTGGTTAGCCGGTCCGATGAGTGCGTAAATGCTGGTGCGATATCGACGAGTGTGCTTCCTTCATCTTGGTTCGGTGGCATTTTTCTCTCATGCATAAAGCGCCGAGTTTTTTACTTCTTGGAGACGAAGCTGCGATGATAATAGAACACTCAAAAGTAAAGAAAAATACAGTTTCATGAACCTCTAGCTAGAAATAATATTTTGAAAGCTCTTTTTGTTAGTTTTTTAAATGAGTCGATTTTTGAGAATAGAATCAATTAAGTTTTCTTTACATTTTTAGACATGAAATTTTGCCCAACTCAACTCCCACTTCTTGCCCATCTCTTTCGCTCTTGTTGGAGCCTCGCCTCCGGCAACCCTCACCTTTCGCTAGGTCTTAGGCGGATCTTGTCACTATCTTCATGGGGCTAGCCACCGAGCTTTGAGATAGGTTTTGGAGTTTTCCGAAGGCTCAGTGTGAGCGGAGATTTCATTTACTCATCCAGGAGGAGAGGCTTTAATGAAGAGAGATCTTGTTTACTCATTTCGAAGGAGATGCTTAAGTGAAGAGAGATCTTTTTTTTTTCTTTTTAAATATTTTTATTTTTCTTTCTTTATTATGATTTCTTAAAAAAATGAAAACAAACTTAAAAAAATCAAACACTTATTTTCTTATTCCTTTGTATAGGGTCTTATTCTCGTGGAGTGTGAGGGGGCCTTCTTTCTTTATTATTATTATTTTTTCTCTTTTTCCTCATATCCTTTTCTTCTTTTATCTTTTTTTTTTATCTCTTTGCTTTTGGCTTGTCACTTTTGTCATTTTCTTCTTCTCTTGCTTTTTGTCTTTTTCCTCTTGTCTCCTTGCTTTTTGTCTCTTTTTGTTTTTTTGTTTTGGGCTCTTTTGACATTGGAATACTTATCTTCTTGTTGGTAGCACGTTCACGCTCACCGTACCAATGTTGAATCAAGATTTTTCCTGTAGATCGTGCCCAAGGAATAGAGCACAAAATCTGAGAGATAGAGAAAGAGAGGAAGAGAAAAAAGAGATTTGCTCCATGGGGGGGGGGGGGGGGCAAACGGGGGTTTCTAATTCGGGGGGCAAAGAGGGGTGTTCCTCGGGCTCTTTGACCCATTTTATTCCACATAAGGTAAATGTTACAAGTGGGGAAGAAAGAGAGTGCTCCCTACATGAGGGTTGAAAGATAGAATCTAGGGATCCCTTTACACGTGCTAGGGTTTCTCTATTTATAAGAGTGAAAAGGATGGAAGAGGGATATTACAATTATGCCTCTGCTTTAAAGAGGGTTGTAAGAGGTCCTTCGGTCCTTCTATCGCCCAGATTTGAAGTACTGACACTTGTTGTCCGCAGATTTCGTCAATTTTGGGTGGTCAACTAGGGATGGCCGATCGGCTTATGGTGTCCGGCCGGCTGTCTTCTTTGTGGCCGACCGACTGGTGGTGGCAGACTAAGGTGTTTGGTCGACGGTTCTCTTGTGGTCGACCCTTTATGTATGAGGGAAAAATGCCACATCACCGAGTCAAAGGAAGAGCCATCGCCAGAGTCGCGCTAGATGTTACGTACTCGTCAGGCAGGCTAACCAGGGCCAACCACATTGGCAGGCCACCTCCTACCGACTGAGCGACCACCTTGGGCCAACCATGGAGAAGACAATTGATCGACAACCTTGGCCGACCACCCCCAGCCGACCGACCATTCTTGGTCGGCCACCCGACACTAACAGACCCCGCAAACACAAAGCCCCAAAACTTTAGATCTGAGTAACATAATGACCGAAGTACCCCATACAACCCTCTATAAAGCAGGGTCATAATTATATTCTCCCTCTCCACTCCTTTTCACTCCTTTAAATAGAGGACCTCTAACATGTGTAAAAGAGTCCCTAGGCCCTCTTTCTCAACCCCCATGTAGGGAGCACGCTCCTCTTCTTTCCTCGCTTATAAGCTTTATTTTGTGTGGAATCAAAGGGGCCAAAGAGTCTAGGGAACACCCATCTTTGCCCTCCATGGGGCAAATCTCTCTTTTTCTTTGTTTTTCTGTCGCTCTCGTTTTCACAATCTATTCTATAGGCACGATCCATAGGATAAATTTGGATCAATATTGGTGCGATGAGTGTGGATGCGCCGCTGGAAAGAAGAGTATTTTGAGGTCAAAAGAACCCAAAATAGAGAAACAAAAAGATAGAAAAAGCAAAGAGATAAGAGGGAAAAAACAAAAAACAAGGGATAAGAGGAAAATGACAAATATGACGAGAAAAAAGCAAAAAGAAGAGAAGAAAAAATAAAAGAAAAAGATAAGTGAAAAAAGAGAAAAGGAAAAACCAAGATTAAGAAAAACAGAGAAGAATCCCCTTACACTCCATGAGGGATAAAACCCTATAAAGAGGAATAAAAATGTTAATTATTTGCTTGATTTATGTTTGTTTTACTTTTTTTTTTTTTTTATAAAATTAGAAAGAAGAAAGAAATATGAAAAAAGAGAAAAAAAATGATCTCTTTTCATTTAAGCCTCTCATTCGGGATGAGCAAACATGACATCTCTTCATTTAAGTCTTTCCTTTGGGATGAACAAACAGGATCTCTCTTCATTAAAGTCTCTTCCTCAGGATGAGCAAATAAAATATCCCTTCACACTCAACCTTGGGAAATCTCTAAAACCAATCTCAAAGCTCAGCATGGAAAAAGCTATGGAGGTGGTTCCCTGCCTGGATTCGACAAGCTGCAAATGGTATGATGCAAATCACCTCATTAGTAAATCTCGACAGTTAACCCCGTGAAGGCAGCGATAAGATCCGTCTAAGACCTAGCGAAAGACGAGGCCCGTAGGAAGCGATGTTCCAATAAGGGAAAAAGAGATGGGTAAGGAGTGGGACTTGAGTTGGGCAAATTTTCATGTCTAAAAATATAAAGAAAACTTAACTGATTATATTATCAAAAGTTGACTCATTAAGAAAAAAAAAACAAAAAGATGGTTAAAAAAATTAAGTCAATCTGGAAGTTCATGAGATTGTATTTTTCTGTATTTATAAGTTTTTCATTCTCATTGCAGCTTCGCCTTCAAGAAGTTGAAAATTTGGGGGCTTTATGAATTAGAGACAAATGCTGTCTTGCCCAGCTGGCAACTACGTACTCATTGGACAGACCAACCAGGGCTGTCCACCCCGCTTCTGCTGGCTCGCCAACTCCAACCTACGAACCAAAGCCGACCACCCTGCTCCTGCTGTTCGGCCACCCTGCTCTTGTAGTTCGACCACCATTGCTATCCAACTCCAACCAACCGACCATCATGGGCAGACCACTCCTCTCCGGTCAGTTGGCCACCTTAGCTGACCATACCTAGCCGACCGACCACTAATGACTGGCCATATAAAGAACAACAGGTAGGCCACCAAGGGTCAACCAGAAGAAGGACCGGCTGGCCACCAAGGGCCGACCACAGGAGAATAGTTGGCCGACTGCCAGCAGCCGACCACCATGGATCGCCACAGAGAACATAATTGGTCAGCCACCCGACCCACCCCTTGCCGACCGTCCATCCTTGGGTGACCACCCGACGCCGACGGACCTCGAGGACACTAAGCCTCAGAACTTCAGATCTGGGCTACGGAAGGACTGAAGTAGGCCTTGGAGCCCTCTATAAAGCAAGGGCGTAATTCTAATCTCCTTCTTCCCTTCTTTTCGCTCATCTAAATAGAGGACCCCTAGCATGTGTAAAGGGGTCCCTAGGTTCTCTCTCTCAACCTCCATGTAGGGAGCACACTCCCTTTATTCCCTCACTTGTAACATTTACTTTATGTGGAATTAAAATTGCATAAGAGCCTGGGGAACTTCCCTCTTTTGTCCCCCATGGGGCAAATCTCTCTTTTTCTCTCCTTCTCTTTCTCTTTCACTCAGATTACATGCTCAATTCCTTTAGC